CAAACATGTCTTTGATATCAAAAGAGGCCGACACCAGGTCATGATACCCAAGCAATTTGTCAAAAGAACAACTCATTGCCTTGAGGCCTGGGACGAGATCCAAAACAGCACGCAAATTGAAACCTGAATGAATTGGCAATGAATACAGCAAAGCATTCAGCGCCCTTGCCACTCTAGAGCCAGCAAGTCGTGTGGGCTCAGCAAAAGTTGGTGAGATCGGGCGCCAGCGAGTGAGATCCTTAGGCTTGGGCAAAGCATAAGCATTCCCAAATCTACCACCCGGATCCCACCTCCCCAACCTGTTGAGCCCAAGGTCGTGGAAAACACCCTTCATACGGTCCAGGACCGAGCTTTCCTCCATCGAGACAGGGCAAAAGGAGACATTCCAATTGAAAGTCAAGTACAAATATTGATTGTAAAGAATCGGGCAAGTAACCAGCGTATCCAAGCAGTTACGATCAATCGGAATGCAAACAAAAGAACGGAGGCCCGTGAGCCAAGGCGCCAAATCCAAGGTACATGTATCAGCTGGTAGGTCCCTTGCCCCATCCCAGAAACCACGCAAATGCTCCGGCGTAACCACCAAAGCAGATCGTAAATAGCTAGTGACTTTAACCAGTTGCTTCCCTAGCTGCAGTATCCCATCTTTAGGGAGTACTCGCGGGATATTACGCGAGTTCTTGAAAAGCGAAGGAATACCATAAATACCCCCTATCCTGGTAAAAACGTGGAATCCCAATCATTCCCAAGTAGGCTCAGAATGACAGCGACATACCCAGGGGCAGTCTTCCCGTGAAAGCTGCTGCACCGAGCGGAAATACCCAGCCACAGTGACATTCTTCTTCCAAACAATGCGGATCTTTCTCCTAAAAATCCCTTTAACACCCTCAGAGAGACAGGAAACATCCAGGATCCTCAACAGCAAACCATGCACACGTGCAGTATCAATCAGGTGATCGTAGCAAAGCTTAACCACGATCCTAGTGCGTACATCGATCCCCACTTTAGTTTTAATAGCCCTAGCCAGGACTCCCCGAAGAGTAGTTCGAGTATTCTTACCTGAGAAGCCCCGAGCAGCCTTAAACCATCAGACGAGCAATGCAAGGGGCTTCAGACGCAGGAGACGACGTCTCCAAGGCTCAATCAACAACAAACACAGGTGTCCCTTGTGGATAGCGCGGCCATTCGACGAAAAAATAACCACCCGGAAATGCCAAGTGCCCCCTTGCTGGAATTCTGCCTTCAAATCTTTGAGTGGACGAGAAAGCAACCCAACTCGCACCATCGAAAGACCAAAGCATCTTCGGATGAGCGGCCATGTATCCGCCCATAAATCACCAGGGGAGGTCTCCAGCATAGATTCTTCCGATTATGCAAAACCGCAAGTCGAAGAAAATACAGCAAACTATCCGACCAGCCGCCCCCGGGCTCTCGAAACCTTATCAACCCCTTGGTGGACAAAGAGGGAACATTTCCTCTACGACTAATCCGTCCACGCCGCCCATGCTTTCGGATCCTACGCAACTTCCGCCGAAAGTTCAAAATCGGACAGAAATTCCTAATGAGCACCAGCTCAGCCGCTTCAACTGAGAAAACATCATTAACCAAAGGTACAGTAACATAGCTACCAATCCCGATAAGACGCAACCACAGATACAATTTTCGACAAACACCAAACCCATTAATCTTAACCGTGCGCGCATGTTCCGCCCATCTGATGTAAATGCCACGAGCCGAGCACCCAATGTATTGAGCCTTACATGAAGGCGAGGATAGCACGTAAACCACAGGTCCAGAGTCCCAGGAATCCCAATTCACCTTGAGGAGTAGCGAAATAAACTTAGTCATCCACAATACCTCTCCCAAGATCGCGAGTCCAACAAAGCATAGCGTAGCACACTTATCAAAAAGACATCTGAGGTGCGAAGCTCCGACCCCTTGCCAAAGTGCGTTCCTACGGTGCATACATTCGAAGACATTCTGCCAAAGTCGGAACCGAGTGAATTCATTGATTCACTTACGAGGCGTAAATTCCTCCTCCTCAGGGCTGCCTACCTGCGATGGTGCCGGAGTAAAGATGAAGCCTTCATATGCCACCTTAACTCTTTCCTCAATGATTCTCTCGATCGTCGGAGCCTTCGTGGTATACTGGATACCTTCCGAAGCACAGATAACCTTCAGTTGGTCCTTGTTCTTCCCAGTTAGCAATCGGCGTTGCTCCATGACATAGTTAAGAATCCCTTCCGGCTCACTCCCCGTCGGAATCTTAGTTCGAGCACGCTCCGTTCCCATCTCCGAGGACTCAGGTCGCAGGTTATTATTAACCACAGAACCGTCATCCTTATTAAACACAGGCTGATGAAAAGGCCGTCTGGCCGCGTGCACTGGTTCTTTTCCTCGTCTCTTTCTTTCCCGAATCTCATACAGCTTAGCTATCTCGTCTTCGATATCTTCAAGCCCACGGTCCTCGTAGTCAACACCATGCCTCACGTTGAACTTCTCTCTAACAGGAGTAAACGCAGGTCTGTAGGCAGGTGAACGCCCCTCCTCCCTCCGCGCTTCTTCCCGAGTAACGAGGTACTGCCGCCCAATCTTCGTCATCACGCGGGCTTCCAAAGCCTCCGTGTCCCATTCAATCTCTTGGCGGATCAATTCATCCATCTTCCTTCACTCCTCAATCTCCCTTTTTCGATTCTGCTCCTCCCGCTTTTCTTGAATAAGCTGGCGCAAAAACTCTTTTTCTTCGTTATCTTCCTGCGGGCGTCTCGGCGTCCAGAATCTAGTAGCCGCAGGAGTATTACCTCCTCCTCCTCCCAGTTGCTGCTGACACTGAGAGGGACACTCCCTAGCGAAGTGGCCCTCAGCCCCGCAATTAAAGCATTTGTTCCCTGGCGTCGCCATCCCACCGCAACCAGGTTTCGAAGGGCGCCCAGCGAAGACAGTACTTTGACAAACTAAAAGAGCTGTAGCCCCACAAAACCCTACCGAGGATTTTTCAAAAAAAGATGAAGACGAAAAAGAGGCAGAAACATAAAATCTAGTCTACATGTGCGATAATGCGGATCGTATTGCTATCACTATCAAAAAACACCATGATCCTAACCAACGTATCCTCTTTAGGAAACCATAGCGCACACTTGAGCAAAACGCGATCCATACCCTAGGGTAGCACGACAGGATCACTACCATATCTTGATACTAACCTTACCGTATCCCAATACTTGAAACTCCACCAACGACGTGACCACCACCCAGTGTTCAACCGCACTGCAGGTTGTCACGTAAATCTGAGAAGAAAGACACAGCCCGGCAAGACTGCTTAAGCATGAGAACGGAGGAGTAAGATACACCCATACAAACATTCCGTTACGCACGCCAAAAGTTGAAACCATACACCATCTCAACAAGAGAAAGCATACACAGTGAAATCTCCGAATCAGCGAAAATGAAGTGGAAATACAGAATCATAAACGCGGTCATTCCCCGACGCGTTTCGTCTACGCCGCCCGTAGACTCTTAAGGGGGATTCAGCCCTCAGAGTACACCCTCCAACTATGCCTTCCATCCACTAGAAAGCACGAGGCCTTACCAAAGCCTTGCCTCGTATTTATACTGCTATCCTACTCCTACCTTCACCTCCCGAGTATGCTTACACCAGAACTCCCGCCAGCGATC